GGAAAATTAGGTCCTAACTGGAAGGGGCCCTACAAGGTTACAATTGTTGTTGAAAATGGAGCATAGTATCTGGAAGATCTCAAGGGCAAATCCATACCTCGACCTTGGAATGTAGCAAATCTCAAAAAGTACTATCAGTAGTATGTCTTCCTAAATGTCTATCAAGCGTAATGGCATTTCTCTTTTGTTTAAAGGAAAAAGTCTCAACACTTCCTTGAACTTTTGTTTCTAGCACATGGGCAACCTTAAGGCCAGAACTAATTAATAATTAACACAACCTCTTAAGATCCAAGTTTTGGGGGCATAGTTCGAACTATAAAGATGGTTTGGACTAAAGAAGAGTTAGCAAAAACTCTCGAAAAAAGCTTTATTGGGAATGAACGGATTTTAGCAAAGTCAAGGAATGACTTTTGGAATTAGCTTTGATATTAACCGAACGGAAAATAGCTTTGGTTTTAACCGAACAGAATTAGCTTTGGGATGACCAAACAAAATTAGCTTCGGGACGACCGAATGTAATTTGAGTTTGGTTTGCACTCAAACATGCTAAGTAGAATTGTTTAGTGGAATTATGTATGGCAACCAAATGGAACTTAGCCAAGTGCATTTGCTTGGTGGAAACCGCACTAACAAATTTTTCAACAAGATTATTTCCTCCAAAATCACAGGATTTTCAAAGTCACAAATGACTCTTTCTTAAGTACAAGTACATCAAAATTCAATACTTTAGTATTGTTTCATGCAAACTGAGTTGGAATAGACTTAGATAAATCTTTCAGGAGCAACCTTCCAGCACAGGCCTTACTAAGCTCCAGGTAGGGGCAAACAATTGCTTTTTCAAAACTAACCTGGACCTAAGTAAGACACTCATTTATGATGTTGTTATATTCAAAATCATTCATACTATCAAAGTTGGAACAAACTTCAGCAATTTTCAGTGCAAGTCTTACTTAGCTCCAGGCAGGGGCAAACAATTGTTTTGTAAGAACTAACCTGGACCTAAGTAAGACACTCTCCTTCGATTACAAGACAAACACAGTCATGCAACATATCGAATAACCAGACCGAGTAACTATTCGGCCCAGAGGTCCTAACAAGGCTCGATCGGGGGCAAAGAGTGCAGAACATATTTAGACATAGAAGCAAAAAGCACCAGATTGCAAAATCAAAGGAAAAATATCATCATCCAACAAAGGCACAGTTGGCCTCACAAACATCAGCCAAAAAGGAGAAATTGTCTTAGCGATCATAAGGGGGTAACTCGTCAGAAAGACTGAGCTCTAGTGCAGCAGAAAACAAAAAAGAAGAAAAAACAAAATGTAAAAAACTTAAATTGTCTCAAAGATCGCTTCAACTTTCATCACAAAGGGGAATCTCAGAGGCAGGGTTCACAATCTTGTTCGAATCATCTTTGAGGAGAGAAGCAGAGGCAGCTTCAACATCTTAGGGAACAGGAGCTTCCTTAACCACCTCATCTACAACTTCAATCTCTGGGTTCTCACATTCTTCAACAATCATTGGCTTGTTAGCAGCATCACTCTCTGGAGTCTTGCTGGCAGAACTATTACCTATGAAGATCTTTGACTACAGAGTAGCAGGTGTTGTAGCAGCTTTCAGGCTTGAGGATTTTTAAGGAATAGGAACGTCTTGGAATAAAGGGGACTCCTCATAAACCTTGGCAGCAGTTAGGGCACGCATACATACTTTAAGAAAAAAACTTGTCAAGTAGAACTAGCACCTCTTTCTTATAAACAGCATCAACCTCATCCCAACCTTGTTGCCTGTACTTAGCTTTCAAAGTTGAGCGCTCGACGGCCATCACAACAATAAAAGCCTCTAACTCGGCAACCTTTCCTTCAAACTTGGGTTGGGTATCGACAACGTCATCCTTAGATTTCTCAGTAGAAGTAACAACCTTGTTCAATCGAAAGACCTCCATCTCTGCAGCTTTATGGCCCTCCTTCTCTACCTCCAGACTCACCATTAACCTTTCAGAACTCATCATGGCCTCCAGTATGACCTTCTCTAATGCCTCAGTACAGTGATAAATAGGTGCATCTTTTGAATACACTGCAGCAACAAAAGGCATCAAGGAAAGGACATGGTACAAACAAGAAATAACAGAAAAGGAATTACTAGGGTACTTATAGTAGTCATCATTTACAGGGTTCCCTTCAAAATAGGGATGTCGCAAGGTCCATTGTGGTCTGCCATGTCCACTAGCAACACAAAATATCTTAGTTAAGTCAAAATGGGCTTGCCCTAGTGCAACATGGGCGGTTCCCACTGTTTAAAGGATTCATCAATGATAGGCTCCCCAGAAGGCTCACCAACCTTAGCCTTACCGGTTTCTCTCCTTCTCTTTTTTTCCTTTTCAGCAGTTAGGGCATTGGATTTAGGAACAGAAATAAAAGGGCTAGCTATCCTCATTTGTAATTTTACCTCCATTAGACTCTTTAGCTCAGTTTTGACTACGGGAGTCTCCAGAGCCGAAGAGGAGCCAAAGGTCTCCGCCTCCAAGTCTACAAGCATCTTTCTCTTTGACATATATCTGCCTCCTGCGAAACTGGGGGAAAGAGAAGGAGTCCTCTTAGCAGATTGACTACGGGTACGTCGACGGTTAGTAATCAAAGGGGCAGGAGGTGTGTCAGTTTCAATGTCAAAATCGAGCAAAGATGCAGCAAGTCTCGCCTTCTTGGGAATGGTAGTTCGGTAGGTAGTTTGGTAATCCAATAACTTAGGGACAGATCTATTTTTGTACTGTAGTGCGACATTAATTGCTTTAGTATTTTCATGAGTCGATCTCCTTTGGTAGTAGAAAGACTCTGCAGGAAAAGAAACAACATTCCCATAGCATTCAAACATAACATATATTGAAAACAGAAGGACTGAAATACAAAGACAGAGGATTCAAACCTGGATAACCATTTTTCTGGGGCATTCTTTCGAACTGGATCTCCGTTCCGGCAAGGAACTTCTAGTTCTCCCTGACTTGCAAGAAGTCATCGTTATGCTTGTCAGAATCAGACAAACTAGTGACAAAATAGGAGTCAATAGAACGAACACGAAGGTAGTAAATACTATGGTCTTTGTTATGTGTAACAACCTAAGATGTCCCAAACATCTAGGTTCAAGCCTAACCGCCTGCTCGGGTGGAGATGCCGCAAACAATGCGGAACAGAATCATAGAAACTTGCATGAGGAAAAGTTGAACTTGATGCAGAAAACGACGGACCAATGGGTCCAAAGGGAACCAAACCCCTCCTTTAACAATGGCAGTGACCGAAAATGCAAAAGTATTTCTCGTACCCATACGCTTGGCATCAACCCTAGCCAACATAAGGGTAACGTCATTTGGAATGCCATGGTCGCGATGAAACAGTGTCATCGCCTTAGGGATGTCAACTAAAGCATGAAACTTACCCATAACCTTGACTAACAATGACAAGTCCACACTAAGAGAAGGCAGAGAAATAACACGAACCGTCAAAAATAGTGGAGTGAAGGCCAATAATGGCGATAGAGACCAAAAAGTGAAAGAAAAGAAGAGGTTTAGAAGAACTTAAAGTGATTTGATGAAGAATGACGAAGAACGAAGGTCTTGGATATTGGAATTGAAGGGAGACAAATGCGTCTAGAACCCTACAACAATGGCAGCAAGCATCGGAGTAAAGCACCGTCGGAACCAAAGGAAGAAGAACGAAAAGGTTTTTGGGATTTCAAAACTTTGGAGCAAATAGAGAGGTTGAAAAGACAACCCTAGGGTTTTTATGACCTTTGATCGGCGTAATGGTACAAATCACATCCTTTTGCAAGACGTGGTGTGCTACTTCTGCACACCAACACCACATTGCCACGTGTCACTATGAAATGACATATGCAGAACGCGTGTGTCAAGACTCAAACTGCCACCAAGGCCAAACTATAGCGGAACTGAAACAACGCGATGGTTGGGATATTAAACAGTAGCTTTCCCCAAGGGGCACCTTAGCAGGAGCTAGGGGGCAAATGAAGGGACAAAATATAAATGGGTCAGATCCAAGCCTTGGACCGGTCCAATCCACTAAACCCAAACCCAAATGGGCCAGATGAGTATGTGGGCCAGTCTATTAAGCCTATCTCCATGAAAAACGATTTTCCCAAGCCCTCAAGTACTTGGGCCCAACATGCAACGAAAAGGCCAGTCCAACCGTGATGTTGGGCTAGGCTGAGCTGCTGGGCTTAATTCATGGACCAAACTAATGAACTAAACCCATCATCAGAACCGAAGTGGGCTGAGCCCAAACACCGATATCAGAATGGATCTGCCCATCTCTAGAAGCAAACTTATAAAAGGCTGAGCCAAGGCACATCGGTATTGAGCTGAGGGAATCTCTCAGGGAAACATGGAAGCTACGAACACATACATGTGCAAGCTGCCACCTCAGCTGGTCCCCCCCTCAAGGAATCACAAAAACAAATAGCAAAGGGAATGTGATTTGTTATATGCATGGTTACAATAAGCACATGTATCCATGGTTAACTACCTTCTGGTCCCCAACCTTGACCAATGTTAAAGGAAGCCTTGAGGCACCAAAGCTCCATGAAACCATCTTAGGCAACAAGTAAACTGTTCTATATAAGCCTCACTCTCCTCATACTGAAGGTAACTGAACTAAGATGAACCATACTTACCTAAACACAATTCTCTACACTCAAAGAGTACATCTCAGCTTCTCCGATCACTCACTCCCGATCACTCATCCCCATCCCAGAGAGGTTTTCCTGCCAATCCTGGCTGGGCAGCCTTGGCGGTGTTCTGTGTTACAAGTCCCTAGTTCCTGGATAGCCCATTTCAGTTGCGGAGCTCCGATCCACTTTCATGTAGTGTAGGATTCGGTACGCACACAACAAATGAATGCCATTTTTTTTCCTTTTATTTCTAACATATATACCTATGAAATACAAGGCTTATGAACATAGGGATTAATAAACTAGGAAATAGTTGGCTTCCAACTTACAATGTCCCGGCAAATCCGGTGCTAAGATGACTCTGATCCTCAGGTAGAAGCCTTACCAGTCCAAAATCAGCTATTTTGGGTAGGAAATCACCATCTAGTAGAATATTGCTAGATTTTATATCTCGATGAATGATGCAAACATGGAATTGCTCATGAAGATAGGCAAGACCCCGGGCTATCCCAAATATTATGTCAAACCGTTGTTTCCAGTTCAAGGCACCTCTTTTTTCACCTGTTAAGAATGTGAAACTTTCCTACATGAAGTAGAAATTAATATATAAGAAAAATAAATTCAATGTCTTCTCAATTTTTTCTTTTTTATTATTTTTATATTTTTTTTACCATATAAGAACCTATCAAGACTTCCATTTGCCATGTACTCATACACAAGTAGTAGATCTGGTCCTCTGTTGCTACACCCTAGAAGTCGAATGAGATTTCGGTGATGAACATTACTAATAATCTTCACTTCACTTTCAAAACCTGCCTTTGCTCTACTCGAGCTTATAGCTAGTTTCTTCACTGCAATTATATTTCCATTTTCAAGAGTGCCCTGTTCAATGACCTAATGGTGAGATTAAGAATACAAATATGCAACATAACATTCAATTTATGAATCAAAAAAATTGGAAAAAAAAGTGAAAATGATGGATTTGGTTTTGGGATGCATAATAAATGAAATTAATCTTACCTTGTATACATCCCCAAAACCTCCTTCTCCTAGTTTAGTTTCTTCACTAAAATTTTTTGTTGCAGATTTCAAATCTTTGTAACTGTAAATCACTGGTCCTTGCAGCTCTGATGCCCCTAATATGTTACCTGTTATAGAGGTAATTCACATTTCATATCATATCAGCAAAAGTTCTAAAATGAAAACAGAATGAAGATAAAGCTTTTAATTCTTAAAAGGGTTTTGGAAGTAAATAATAGAAGACTGAAAAGGAAGTGGCAAACATGGTTTAGAAATTAGGGAAAATTCTATATTACACACCATATGTTCTAATTATAACATTTGTAGTATTTATTTATGACTCATTGTGATTATTTATCTTATGTGGTGTTTGGTTATGAGGATTTAATTATAATATTTGGAATAATCAATATCACAAATGTTATAACTTACTCATAGTACACTTCATTTTAAAAGTGTGTATTCTAGAATGATCCATTAGAATTGGAAGCCAGTGTCATACGGTTACATTCTAGTTCAATTGTTTTGATAAGAAAAGCAATAAATGACTCATCTTAACCAATGCCATAAATTTGGCAAATAGTGTCACTACAACAGTAAGAGTTTTATGGACTAAAATTTTGTCTTCAAAGGTAAAAATTTATTATAAAAAAATATTTCGGGATCAATTCCTGTTGTCACGAGTATGGTCACTAAAAGGGCCATTTTAAAAAGCCAAAAAAATGATTTTAATGTCAAAGTTTTAAAAATGTCGTTAATAAATACAAAAAAAAAAATAGTCTTCCAAAAAAAGCTTTATTTTTTTAGACAAAAAATTTGGTCTAAAAAAAATAGTAGTTCATCACTAAATATCAAATTTCATTGCTAAAAATACAATAATTACACTTTTAGCAACAAAAACATTTCTTCTTTAAAAAAGTGATTTTATTCTTAAATTTTTGTTTCAAAAATCTCAATTTCAAGTTAACCAAATAGAAAAAAATTGACATTGACAAATTATGTCCGTAAATATCATTTAAACTACGTCCACATAAAAGAATAATCGAAGAAACACAAATTCCAAATTTATACTCGAAGTTGGTATTAGAGCCAGAAAATGTAGCAAGCTTTACGTTTAGCTTTGATAACAGTTGGTATCAGAGTCAGAAAACATAGCAAGTTTCAAGTTAAGGTCTAATAATAGTTGGTATTAGAGCCTAGAAAACTTGGTAGAACTTCATGGCAACTCTGTTCATAGTTGTAATTAGAGTCAGAATGTGTGAGTTTCAAAGAAAAAAAATATATGTACTTAGTGGCAGCTTTGATTATAGTTGGGATTTTAGAGCCAAAGATAATTTGTGTGTTTTGTTGAAAATGATATCAACTCTATAATAGTTGGTATCTACTACAAGATTGCTATCGTAAGATTTATGTCAGCTATGACACAGTTGGTGGTGAAGTTTAAATGATTTTGTGGGCGCAAATCATATCAACTTTGGCATAGTTGCAATCACAATTGGTGTTACATCTTTATGGGCATTTTCTAGAGTCGGTGTGTGTGCTTAATGTTGATATATCCCTTATCCGTGAACCCCGATGCCTTTGTTTGAAGGAGTAATGCATTGGAGCTTCAAAGTGGGAAATGTGTTGGTATTGCATCCTAGACTCTATAATAAGATCAGTTATGTGGTTGCATAGTTCAATGGAAGACATTGTGATTTTCTTTGGGTTGAGTGCTCCTTCGGTTGATTTTAGGGTATTCGTGTTTCTTGATATATCAGAAGAGATGCCTTTGTTAAACAGCTTAGTTGTACTAATGTTGAGCTACTCAGTAGTTGTGTAAATATTGGTTGTACTTGTGTGAGGATGCGTTTCTATGTTGTGAACTTGGTGTGAGCTTGTTTAACAATAAGGCACTTTGTGGAAATGAGTTGCTACTTAGGTGTTGTATTTGCTTCGTCTCAAGCATAGTTCAGCAATTGGGTTGTATTGTTGGCTAAGTGGGTTGCTACCACAGTGTGGGTGAAGATGGGAGACTTGTATAGTGGGCTTTGCAAACTACTTGTTTGCATCATGAAGATGGCAAAATGGTTTGTAGTCTAGCTTGTGTATATGGCACTATCACTAGTTTGTTTCTGGTGGAAGGATGTCTCTACCAAATTGGAGGATGTCAGTTCTACATGTGTGCTTTGTTTGGTCAGCAATTACATGTAATTGGGTTGATCCTAATTTAGGGGTCATTTGTATCTTGTAGAGTACATGTCGACTGCAAAGAGTTGGGGTGAATATGCATGTCACAGTTGTCAAGAGGACAATCATGTAGCGGGATGGTAAAGTCAAGATGACTTCGGTGCCAAGGGGAGCACGCCTTGTGGGTTAAGCCGGTGGGCGTCATTTGTGCTTTGAGAGCAATTACCGTGAATGACATTGAGGGGCATCATCTTGCCAGTAGGCCTGGAAGATAGATGTCAAGCTGAGAGGGCCTTGTGATTCCATTAGGTAAGGATGATTGTCATTTGAGCCACACATTTTCTAGAGGTGAATCACACTTTGATTGGTTCGCATGGTCGATGGAGGCATCGTCATCCTTGGAGAGGAGGAGAGATATCGCACCACACATCATTTTCTTTGGGTGGGGATCCCAAAGTTGGTTTGTGCATGGTCAGTGAGGGCATTTTCTTTCTTAAATGTGGGAGAATGTTGTGCCATGACATGCATTGAATGGTTATAGTCGATGGGAGCATCGACACCTTTGAGTGAGAGATGGTATCGCTCTGCGACTTCCTCGTGCAAAGTGTGTGCAGTTTCCTTTCAGATGGAGCATTACACAGTTGGTAGGGCAAGGTCGATGGGGACATCGGCTCCACTAAAGAGGAGAACAGATGTGTTGAAGAAAGATTCAAAGTCTGACTTGGTCTTTTCAGGTTGTTAGTAGTGTCCGTATTTTTCTGAGTTTGTTTAGTCAATGGGGTAGTTGTTGCTGATATTATGCTAGTGGCTGTAGTGGGTCTAAGTTAGTGCCTTACTGGTCCACAAAATTTTATTCTGGTAGCTTAGTTTGTAAGCCTATATATAGGCACATTTGCTTCAGTATTTGATGAATTGAATAAGATGAACAGTGAGCTCACTCTTTGCCTCTGTTTCTGTGATATTCTTACCTCTGTTTTTGTTATTCATTTTTTATCTCCAACAAATTTGGTATTAGAGCAAGGTTGAGAGAGTGAGTAGAGAGGGTAAACACGTGAATTGAGTGAAACACCTGAGAGGAAAACCAATGGCCAGCAACAACAATGCAATGAGTGCTGCACAACCACTCATCCCTGTCTTTAAGGGAGAAGGCTATGAATTCTGGAGTATCCAAATGATGACTCTATTCAAATCTCAAGATCTTTGGGATTTGGTAGAACAAGGCTACGCAGATCCTGATGAAGAAACAAGATTGAAGGAGAATAAGAAGAAAGATTCAAAGGCATTGGTGATTATTCAGCAGGCTGTTCATGACAGCATCTTCTCACGAATTGCAGCGGCAACCACATCGAAGCAAGCTTGGTTAACTCTGCAGAAGGAGTTTCAAGGTGATTCAAAAGTTATCGTGGTGAAATTGCAATCACTACAACGTGACTTTGAAACCTTGTACATGAAGAATGGAGAATCAATTGCTGATTTTCTGTCTCGAGTAACGATGATAGTCAATCAAATGCAATTGTACGGCGAGAAGATTTCTAATGAAACAGTTGTTGCTGCCATAGAAGAATCTAAGGATTTGTCAGTTTTTTCCTTTGATGAACTGATGGGGTCCTTGCAAGCACATGAGACAAGAATTAATCGATCACTTGAAAAGAATGAAGAAAAGGCATTTTAAGTGAAGGACATGAAAGCTGCAGAAGATGATAGTTCGACAAGCAGAGGCCATGGAAGAGGAGGATTCCGTGGTCGTGGTCGTGATCGTGGTAACGGAAGAGGCAGAGGTCGTTTCAATGGGCAACGGCAGTCCGGTGAGCAAAGAAACAACAAGAATGGTGCTCAATGCTATCATTGTAAGAGGTATGGTCATATAAAATCCAATTGTTGGTACAAAGACCAGCAAGTGAATTATGCTGCAGAAAATGGAGAAGAAGGTTGTAAGCTTTTTATGACTCATTGTGATCCTAACAATACATCAAGTGATGTGTGGTTCGTAGACAGCGGTTGTTCGAGTCATATGACGGGGATGAAATCCTTGTTCAAAGAGCTTGATGAGACGCAGAAGTTGAAGGTGTAGCTTGGAAATGCCAAAGAAATGCAAGTTGAAGGGAAAGGTACAGTGAGCATTAAAACTACCCATGGTAACATAAAGCTCTTGCATAATGTTCAATTTGTACCTGATTTGGGATATAATTTGCTAAGTGTTGGGCAATTAATGGTTGCTGGATATTCCATCTCATTTGATAATGATGCATGTGTTATTAGAGACAAGCACTCAGGCCATACGTTGATCAATATCAACATGACTCAAAACAAAATGTTCCCATTGGAAGTTTCAAGCATGGAGAATTTTGTCTCTGCCGCTAGTGGAAAAGATGACTCGAAGCTATGGCATTTGCAATACGGGCATCTCAACATCAAGGGTCTAAAATTGCTAAAAGAAAAAGGTATGGTTTTTGGACTACCGAAAATTGGTTCCATTGAATTATGTGAAGGGTGCATCTATGGGAAACAAACTAGAACATCATTTCCAGTTGGAAAGGCTTGGAGAACTTCAACGTGTCTCGAATTAATTCATGCTGATTTATGTGGACCTATGCAAACTAAATCTTTTGGTGGTAGTCGTTATTTCTTGCTCTTTACTGATGATTATAGTCGCATGAGTTGGGTTTATTTTTTGGAAAACAAATCAGAAGCCTTTGAGAAATTCAGGCACTTCAAAGCTAAAGTTGAAATGAAAAGTGGATTTTGCATCAAAGTTCTTCGCACTGATAGAGGTGGAGAATTCTTATCCAAAAATTTTGATCTCTTTTGTGAAGCAAATGGCATTCATAGGGAGTTGACAACTCCTTACACCCCAGAGCAAAATGGCGTCGCCGAGCGGAAGAATCGAACTGTTGTGGAGATGGCAAGAAGCATGTTACAAGCAAAGGGACTTTCAAACGAATTTTGGGCTAAAGTTGTGGCAACATCAGTTTATTTATTGAAACTCTCTCCCACAAGGGTGGTCATGAAACTAACTCCATTTGAAGCTTGGCATGGCACAAAACCATCTGTAAGTCACTTAAGAGATTTTGGGTGTATTGCTTATGCTTTGGTAAATTCTCAATTTCGTCAACTTGATGAAAAATCTGAAAAATGTATTTTCATTGGTTACTGTACACAATCCAAAGCATATAAGATTATATAACCCTCTTAGTGGCAAGTTTTTAATTAGAAGGGATGTAGTATTTGATGAAAATGCAAGTTGGGATTGGCGTGGAAGTGATGAGAAAATGCAACAACAGGTTCCTATGTCCATTGGAATCTCTTCAAATAAAAGTCAAGTGCCAATTCCTACAAGTTCATCCGGTTCCTCTATGGCATCACCAAGTTCACCAAGGAGAGACTCTTCGTCCACTCTTGAAGAGTCTTCGGATGAAACACCACCCAGAAAGTTTAGATCCTTGAGAGACATTTATGAGTCTTGCCAATTTGCTCTTACTGTTTCAGATCCTATGACTTATGGAGAAGCAGCTACAAAAGAAGAATGGAAAAGAGTGATGGTGGAAGAATTGACAGCAATTAAAAGAACAGAACATGGGAGATGATGGACTTGCCAGAAGGCAAAAATGTAATTGGTTTGAAGTGGGTATTTAAGAAAAAATTTGGTGCAGATGGAAGTATACAAAAGCACAAAGCTCGGCTTGTGGCGAAGGGATATGCACAGCAACATGGTATTAATTTCGAAGAAACTTTTTCTCCAGTAGCTCGGTTTGAAACTGTGAGAATTATTTTAGCATTGGCTGCACAATTACAATGGCATGTTTATCAACTTGATATGAAGTCAGCATTTTTAAATGAAGATCTACAAGAGGAAGTTTATGTAACTCAACCAGAAGGTTTCATGATTGAAGGCAAAGAGACAAAGGTGTACAAGTTGAGAAAGGCGTTGTACGGATTGAAACAGGCTCCTAGGCCATGGCATAGCAAAATTGATGGATACTTTTAGCAAAATAGATTCTTGAGAAGTGAGAATGAGCCCACTCTCTACATGAAGAAAGAAGGTAAAAATGATTTCATCATTATTTGTCTTTATGTTGATGATATCATTTATACAAGCTCCTCTAGCTCTCTTGTGGATGAGTTTAAATCATGTATGATGCATGAGTTTGAAATGTCTGATATGGGTTTGCTACGTTATTTTCTTGGCCTTAAGGTCCAACAAGCAGAAGATGGGATTTTTATTTCCCAAAGAAAATATGCCAAGGATCTTCTTAATAAATTTGGCATGCTTAATTGTAAACCAGCAACTACACCTATGAATATCAATGAAAAATTGCAGTGTGAAGATGGGGCAGAAATGGCTGATGCTAGAAGGTTCAGAAGCTTGGTTGGTGGTTTAATTTATCTAACCCACACTCGACCCGATATTGCATTTTTTGTTGGTATGATTTCCAGGTTTATGCAACATCGTTCAACACTTCATTTTGGAGGCAGCGAAACGGGTCTTGCCTTACATCGCTGGAACTATGGATTATGGGATTTGGTACTCAGAAGCTTCCAATTTCAGATTATGTGGGTTCACAGACGGCGATTAGGCAAGTTCGTAGGATGATAGGCGGAGTATTTCAAAAAATGTTTTTACTCTTGGATCGGGAGTAATCACTTGGAGCTCAAAGAAGCAAACCACAGTAGCAATGTCGTCCTCAGAAGCTGAGTACGTTGCAGCCACTTCAGCAGCTTGTCAAGCCATATGGTTAAGAAGAATGTTAGCTGAACTTCAACAAAGGCAAGAGGAAGCAACAAAGATCTTTTGTGACAACAAGGCAACCATCTTTATGTCAAAAAATCCAGCGTTTCATAGCAGAAACAAAGCATATAGATATTCGTTTCCATTTCATTCGTGATTTGGTTGCGAAGGAGGAGATAACTTTGAAGTACTGTAGCACTCAGGAGCAGCTGGCTAATATACTAACGAAGTCTTTGCCGAAAGAAAAGTTTTTCTACATCAGAGCTTTCCTTGGTGTTTGCAACTTTGAATCAAGGGGGAGTGTTGAAGAATGATTCAAAGTCTGACTTGGTCTTTTCAGGTTGTTAGTAGTGTCCGTATTTTTCTGAGTTTGTTTAGTCAATTGGGCAGTTGTTGCTGATATTATGCTAGTGGCTGTAGTGGGTCTAATTTATTGCCTTAATGGTCCATAAAATTCTGTTCTGGTAGCTTAGTTTGTAAGCCTATATATAGGCACATTTGCTTTAGTATTTGATGAATTGAATAAGACAAACAGTGAGCTCACTCTTTGCCTCTGTTTCTGTGATATTCTTACCTCTATTTTTGTTATTCATTTTTTTATCTCCAACAGTCACGACTCGACATGCTTTCCTCAAGAGGAGCATTGTTTGGAGTAAGCATGAAATTAACTTAGAAAAAGTTTTTTAGGTTGGATCTGCATCCAGAAAGGAGTGTCATTTTGAGTTACTTGCTTGATTTGGAGGAAACGGTTTGTGAGTTCATCTGCTCAGGAGTAGTGCTTCAGGATGGGAGGTGTTCATCAAACTGGGAGTAGTCTTAGTTGGACGCAGTGCATCTAAAATGATATGTGTTTATTTGGCCAAAAGGAGTTTGGGTGTCAGTGTTAGGCTGTTAATGTAGGGAATTGTAAGGGATGAAAACTAAACACAAAGAACAACCACAAATTTGAATAAAAGATATATTCTCTCTTTAAATATATTAATTCTCCAAAATAATCTGATTTTCCCGAAGGCTTACAACTCCTAGTTATAGTCATAGGAAATGCGTAATGATAATAGGAAATAAATTAAAAGGGCAATGTTTGTTAATCGAGCCTAAATCAAAGAGAACATGAAATTTTCAAAAAATAGAAAGATTTGAGTTAAGCTCAAATATTGAAAATATAATAAAAACTAAACATGTTGGAAAAAAACTAGCCTTAAAAAGATTCGTTTAGACCAAGTAATTAAAGAAACGAATATTTCCTAAAATGGCAAAATCGTGCAATTGGTGGCCTAATTAGTGAAATTCGACTGAAATCCATTGTACACCATGCCGAAGTGATTGTATTGATCATGACGCCATTTTCCATGTCTCGGCCAAATCTTAAACTATTCTAAGCATGTGTCATTTCGCATCTACTAATACTTTTGGCCTTTGTCTTGTTTGTCCATGAGTTACAGAAATTCTATAGCCAAACACCTTGTATCAGTTGTCGACATGGAGGTTAGACAAGCCGGTACAAATGCAATGCAGAGGTCGCTGATGGGCTACATCAACAAGGATGTTGATGATTGGAATGGAGGTGAATGTCACGAGCTGACAATTTGACTTCATCTCACAACATGACATCCCAACATGACGGGTTGGCCCCAAGTAGTCCAACACACGTTATATCCTAGTGGGTGGGTGTCAAGAAATCCTTTAGTGGCATTTTCATAAATTCCTATTATTAAAATTTATTAGGAATTATTGGATTATTCATTAAGACTCCTCAAGCATGTAGGATGTTTCCTTGTCCCAATCTGCAAATGACTTAAGATGCTATTATGAGGAGACATGATGTACTTCAGCCTGCCTTCCTAACCCATGATGCGTTTCAAATGGACATCCTTTGACATATTATTAAGAGTTGTCATTAGTCTCCATATGGGTTTGGGAACCCCATGGACAGTGTCATCGAGGAGCATGGGTGTCGACACTGTGCGTCATATTCTAGCGGGAAGTTTAGGCATGCACTCGTTATGCCACTCGTTATAACATATTGTGGTGTCGTCTTAGATTGAATGGATTGGGGTATCGAGGCACCATTACTAAGGCCTTGTGTGCCAATTCATGAACATTGACTTGGATTCAACCTTGAAGGCGAGGGTCATGTAGCCTACCTAGCGATTTAGTGACAATATGTGTGTGATCATTTGAATGGCATGAAACATTTCCATCAAGTGAGGCACATTGTGCAAGCTTATGGGAAGGCAAAATGCTAATAGTGGGATATGGACATACATTGTCATGTTCATATTACATGCTAGTGCAACACTTCAGGTGCACAATGACACTTGGTGGATGGTTTACCATGTCAATGCATGCATGGGGATTTGAGTTGTGGCTGTACATGCGACCTCACTCATCTATGGTTATTCGAGATAGGAGCAACAAGAGACCCAATTCAAGAGAGGGAAACCTAGTCAGCTAGATTGAGGGTTCTACATTGGTACATAGTTGGGCAATAGTGTGTTGGGTCAATTATGGACAACACTGACATGGGACACCTTGATTGACATGGACCTTAGTTGGGCGGATGCCTTTCTCAAGGGCGAGTTTGGTGCCATGAAGCGACATGACCCACGCGGGATGCAGTTATAGATGCATAGTCCACTTGTGGCGTGGAAGCCGGAGCTTCCTACAAGACATAGTATTGGGTTTGCATTTAACAAGATGGGTTAAGATTCAATACTTGATGGTCAAGGAGAGATTAAACGAGCTTGAACTTGGTGGAATTCAAGCGCCTCATGGGAAAAATATGTTTCACTACGCCTCTAAAAAAGTCATCATACTTAAAATAATTTTGGACCAGGATTATTTTGGTACACTTTGCTATTTGCAAATATTGATTTACCTCTTGGAGCTAACTTTGACTTTCTTGATAGTCGATGCCTTAATATCATCGCAACTATAAGCAAAAAACCACCTCCACCTCCAACTACTCCTCCAATAATGGCATTCTTCTTGCTTGAGCCTCCTCCTGCACAATACAAAAATTGACTAATTCATTGTGTTTCTCTATCTTCATTTGTTTTTTAATTTTATTTTACAGAGGGAAGAGGTCTTACCTCCTCCAAGAAAGGGGCTGATATTAGTTGTCTGGTTATCAGCAAAGAAGGCAGTATCCGAGTATCTAAGAAAACAACCGGCATCAACAGCTCTACCCTCTGCATTAGGAGGACAACTTTGTATGTTGGCAGATGCCACTGTCAAGCAATCTTGGCAACTGAGCTCACTTATTGTTTCTGCACATTGTGACACTGCATACACGGTTGTACTGCCGCTAACCACTTCACTCTTTGTCGCTGCAAAAAATCCATTTATCTTTGGCGTTGCGATTTTAAGATTAGTTAACAGTCCTTGCACAGCTGTGTCAAAAGCCGTAGCCTGGGATACAGTCCTATTGCCACATACACCGACATTTCCAGGGAGAGTGCCTTGGTCATAGAAGCCGTTGCTTTCATACCTTAACAATATATATATATATATATATATAATTAGAAATTTATATTTGCAAAGAAGTTGCTTACAAACACACACACAAAAATAAATAAATATATGCATAAATTATATCAGCAGTCCCTGTATTTTGTTGTTTGTGTCATTTTGGTCCATACTTTTTAATTGGTTCAATTTTAATCTTTAATTTTAGATTTTGTCTTAATTGAGTCTAATTGATAATGCCAATTAGAATTTCTTTAATAGAAAATGATCATTGAGTTTATTGAGATTAACTTACTAAGTTGAACAAATTTATAATTTTTTTCAATAAAAATGTGACATATACCACTTATGTGGGCATTTTTCATCAAAAAAAAAAAACTAAAAATTATAATTAATTGGACTAAATTGAGATAAAATTATAAATTTAAGGTTAAAATCAA